GGAGCCGACTTCTAAAAGTTCCGATTTTGTGCTCCGTGGCTCTATCACTTGCCAGAAGTGGCCGACGGAGGCCCCCTCCCCCGCCGTGTATCCTCCCGAATATCGCCTCGGATTCACTTCTCCGCACGTCCTACCTTCCAGTAAGTGGTCGCTTTTCTTTTCAGAGAGTTGTTGCTATTCTTTTCTTCGATATCCTGTTGGGTTTGTAGGTGTTCAGAATGGTTTGATCCCTATCCAGCTGAATTCCTGAGACCAGACGAAATCCAGGTCTCCTACTCCTTCGCCATCTTGCTCCGCCCCCCCCAGACACACATTTCTTAAGCATACAAGTTGGTCATCAAAAGTTTTCATAACTTTATTTGAGATGACTAATGATATTACTGGCTAATCCTACTAATGAGAGAAACTAAATATTCCCAAAGAGATCAAGACGGCTGTACACCCTTTGGGCAAGTTACTTAACTTCTCTGAACCTCCATTTCTTCAACTGCAAAATGAGATTAATCATTTCTATCTCATTGACTTGTGAGGGTTCAGTAAAATAAGACATATGACACGGCTGCCCCATGTTCAGTTATTCCTGTCTCTCTGTCTCTACTTATTTAATTAATTTATGAATATGTGTGGAAGAGTAAGAGAATATGTAGGTATGATATCATCGGTGCAGATGTGTAGCTGTCACTATAATTCTAGAGAATGCTTCTGGAGATGTCTACGGAAGATATTTGGTCCCCTCAAGACACAAATATGCTGGGTCTTAATGATATCTAATGTCTGGATGAAAAGCAGAAAGTCCATTCATTTACCACAGCTCTCAGGCTCCAGATGTTTGGCAATACATTGTAGAACCTTTATGTAACTATTAACATTTTCTACATTTGGGCAGCTGTTTATGACGGAGCTGATACACCAGTATTAGCCCTATTTCAGTCTTACAAAGCAAATCGATCTGACCTCAGAAGTTTCGAGAGCCACTCAGAAAGGTTGAATGAATTCTGCAACTGTCTCTTGATTTGGCTTTGCCTCATTCTGAAAATAAGTTCTCTTTCCTAGACTGGTATTGGCTTCAAATCCTCCTTTCCTCAACCATATGGATATTACTTTTCAAAAGGTCTGAAGGACAGTGGCCTTTGGTGTCTGAAATTTTAGGTTGTTTGGCTAATCAATACCCTTGTCACTAATTAACCACATCTCAATGAGAATGAGTGAGTTCTGTTAGTTCCAAACATTAAATTGATCTTACAGGTCCCAGCCTGAAGACATATTTAACTTCAACTCTCTGAATAATTTTATTCGTTCTAAGTAATATAGGGTGCATGAGATGTTTGCTGCTGCTTTCTTCATCTTGTCTTTGATGACTTGTCAGCCTGGGGTAACCATTCAGGAGAAGGTGAACCGGTGAGTTGGCCATAAATCTGCAAAATTTGCACATAGGGATCACCTAATGGGGAGCTAAGGCACTTTCTTGTTTGCAACAGGTTATTTTAGGATGGAATGTGACCCCTTTTGTGTTGTTACCAATCCAGTGAAGGACTGCAGGACAGTGAAAAGAGCATGCCCTTGGAGTCAGATGGACCTGTATACAAATCACAGATCTAATACTCAAGAGTTGGGTAATTTGGAGTGGACCACTTAATCTCTTTGAGCTTCAGGTTCCCTAGCTGGAAATGAGAATAATAATGCCTCATCTATAAGAGCTAATGAATATGAAATAAGGTCCTAGATATAAAGTATACTCAGTTTAATAAATAATAATTCTCTTGAGTGATGTTGGACAGCTAACCTCTACTTACCTATTTGTGAATCTTGCAAATTCCCATCTCATAGTGTTTGAGGGAGGATACAATTAAGTAATGTTAATAATATCATCTTGGGAAAGGCTAGAGACTGTAGAGATGCTGGGTCATTTCATTCTTAAAACGAGTTTACCTTTTGCCCTAGGGTAAAGAGTGAAAGTGATATTTTCATATGTACATTGCAATTTTACCCATTTCATTTCCTTGAATGGTCCAACCTGGTTTCAGGTTTTTATATCTTTTTTTTTAAAGATTTATTTATTATTTATTTTGAGAGAGTGAGAATGAGAGAGAGAGAGAGAGTACATGAGAGGGGGGAGGGTCAGAGGGAGAAGCGGACTCCCTGCTGAGCAGGGAGCCCGTTGCGGAACTCGATCCCGGGACTCCAGGATCATGACCTGAGCCAAAGACAGTCGCTTAACCAACTGAGCCACTCAGGCGCCCCTCAGGTTTTTATATCTTAACATCAAGTATGTCATGGTGCTTCAACAGCCCCTTATTTTAGCTTTGGGGTAATATGAAAGCAGTCCTTGTTTCCCAAACACTGAAGATGCTAAGTTGAGCTATTTTATTCAAGTTCTTGTTGAGTGATTTAATTTTGAATCATTATTGCTTTTAAATGCTAGAGCAAGAAAGATTTCCTTTACATAACAGTTCAGACAGGGAAAGGCATTTTTACAAGCAGTTAATTTGCAACTTGTATTTAAAGCAAATACACTTTTGAAAAATCAGAAAATTCACCTCTAATAATTAGAAGATAAAGGCAAGAGAATGGTGGTAAAGGAAATCGCTACTGAGATACTCTTAATTATAAAAGCTTATCATTGTAATCCTTTTTGAAAATGAACAAAGAGTCTTGATGTTTGATGAACTTATCAAATAAGACAGACCAGTGAAGAGGCAAATTTGAAGTCAAGGAAAGAGAGAGCCAATTAAATACTTCACAAAGTGCTGAAGTAGGAAATCATGAGGGCTTTGTATCTAATGCCAGTTTATCTGACCCTGGCTTTGAAAATGGAAGACAACATGGTGAAATAATTTTACTGGGTTCAAATTATGGCCCTGGCATTTACTATTGGTGTGATCTCAGGCAAGTTACGTAAGTGTTCTGAGCTGTAAAATGGGAGGAAATTCAGAGAAACAAACGGATGGAAGTACTTAGGACAATGCCTGGTACTTAGTAAGCGTTCAGTGGAAGCTACTGCCAGTGGGTTTGTGTGATTGTTATTGTCATATTTTGGTCTTTCCATTCTCTCTGATGGTTGACAAAAATTAGATAGAACAAATGTATAGTGTGTCAATTGGCATGGATCGTCAAGTTTGGTCAGTGATTTCAAACATATACAGAATTTAACAGTGGCACTCTTTTTGCCCCAAATAAAATCTTACATGAAACCTAACAGTGAGAAAAACAGATGATATATGTTTTTAATGGTACACTTTAATTTTTAAATTTGTTTTAATTTCTAAAATTTTTGGTACATTTTTATTTTTATCTTTTTTACCATTTGCTTGTTATATATAAACTCAATAGAAACATGGGGTTGAGGAAAACATTTAAAAATAATGGTGATGAGGGATGCCTGGGTGGCTCAGTCAGTTAAGCTTCTGCCTTCAGTTCAGGTCATGATCCCAGGGTCCTGGGATCGAGTCCCGCATCGGGCTCCTTGCTCAACGGGGAGTCTGCTTCTCCCTCTGCCTGTCGCACCCCATGCTTGTGTTCTCTCTCTGACAAACAAATAGATAAATAAATCTTTAAGAAAATAAAATAATGATGATGAAAATCAGTTGTAATATCCAGCCTCAAATATCAATGGCTCTCCATCACATATTTTATATAAATAATACATTTTAACATGTGTGTTGCTTTAAAAAGTTTAAACAATTTTCAGTCCTTCTAATTTATTGAGATTGTTTTATGATAAAGAATATGATCTCTTAGTGAATATATCACGTGCACTCAAAAGTGTGTATTTCTGTGTTGTTGGGTGTAGTGCTAAGTCATTAAATCAAGCTGGTTGTTAATGTTGCTCAAGTTTTCATCTCCTTGCTCTATTTATTACTGAGGGAGGGATGTTGCCATCTCCAGCTATATTTGTGGATTTGTCTATTTCTCCTTTCACTTCCTTCAGTTTTTGCTTCATGTGTTTTCAAACTCTGTTATCTATCATCTATCTATCTACCTATCATCTATCTATATTTAGAATTATTATGTCTTCTTGATGACTTGCCTCCTTATCATTATGAAAGGCTTTCATAATCCATAGGAATTGTTTTTGTTCTGCAGTCTATTATTAATATAACTATTCTTGCTTTCTTTTGATTATTGTTTGCATGGTGAGTTTTTTCCAATACTTTATTTTGACTTATCTGATTCTTCATACTTTAAAGTATGCTTCATGAAGATAGCACATAGATGAATTTTGCTTTAGTGTCTAGTCTAACAATCTCCGTCTTTTAATCACAGTATTTATACCATTTATATAAAATGTAATTACTGATAACTTTGCATTTGTTTATCACCTTTTTGTTTTTTACTTGTCCCATTTGCTCTTTATTTCTGGTTTTTATCTTTTAGATTTAATATTTTTTCTAATTCCAAATGATTTATTAGCTATTCTGCTTTCTTGTTGCTGTTGTTATTGTTCTTAGATTTACAATATATGCCTTTAATTTATCACAGCCTACTTTCCAATAATATGATATCATTTTTATATCATTTTTATTCTCACTGAGTAACTTCCTTTGACATTTCTTGCAATGCAGAATGACTTTTGGTGATGAATTCTCCATTTTCAGTGGTCTGAAAAAGTCTTTATTTTGCCTTTATTTTGAAGGATACCTTTGTTGAATATAAAGTTCTAAGTGAGTTATTTCTTTTCCTGCCACATCACTTTAAAGATTCATCCATTATCTTTGGCTTGCATAGTCCCTGAGGAAAAATCTGCTTTCCTCTTTGTGTAATATGTCATTTTTTAAAAATTGACTACTTTTACGATTTTCTCTTTATTACTGATTTTCAGCAATTTGATTATGATGCACTTTGGTATGGTTCTGTAGGTTTATAGTTCTCACCAAATTTGGAAAAAAAATTTTGCCATTATTAATTTAAATGTATTCTCTGCCCCATAATCTCTTTTCCTTCTGATAGTATAATTGCAGATAGGTTAGACTGCTCAATATCCCACAGTCCACTGAGGCTCTGCTATTTTTGTTGTTGTTGCTGGCAGTCTTTTTATCTTTTTGTTCCATTTTGGATAGCTTCTGTCATTGTATCTTCAAGTTTGCTAATCTTTTCTTCTGCAGTATTTAATCTGTTGTTAACCTGTTCAATGAATTTTTCATTGCTGTTGTAATGATTTTCAGCTTTAAAAGTTTCATTTGGTATTCTTTTATATCTTCCACTTATCATAATGTTCCTGATTCTCCTTACATACTTGGATATATGTGCAATAACTCTTCCAAAGTTCTTTTCTGCTGCCTCCATCCTTTCTGTATCACAGATCTTTGGAATTAGGATTGACACAGACAACATATGGTTTAATCCATCCATTCATGTGGCAGGCAAAGAACCTGAGCCCCAGAAAGAGAGAGAGAGAGAGAGAGAGAGAGAAGGGGCATATTATATAACAACCAGGCCTCTCTGCCAGGCATTTTAAGAATACTGGGCAATTAATCCTCATTGTGTCCCTCTAAGATTACTGTAATTATTATCTCCTGATTGAGGGCCAGGGAGGAGACAAAGCAGTCTGACAGGTTCTAAATCACTCGGCCGCCTAGTGGAACAGTCAGGTCTTCTAATTGCTGGCTCACTGTTATCTCCACCATTCCTGCTACCCTCACCCACTAGAAAAAAAAAATTTTTTTTTTTCCCTAAAACTAAGCACACATTTTGATAAGTAGTGCAAATACAACATTTTCAACCAAAAATTTCCATTGATGGAAAATGAACAAAATTCCTTTAGAGGGACTGATGGAAACATGAGTGAGAACCTCAAACATGGAGGATGACCATAAAGGTTTGTTTCTCTGTATTATTAAATAGGACACAGAGGTAGCAGGCCCTGAGAAGTTTAAATCATGATCCTTCTCTATTTTATTTATTTCAGAGGCATTAGAGTGTGTTTACCAAAGTACCCAGGGCTAGGGCCATGTGACTATTTTCAAAGGTTGTCCAGATAACTGGAAATCAGTATGTATTCAAGCTACGTGAATTTTTAACTAATACAAACAGTCAGAGTTGTGGATATGACTCATAGGGGAATTCTGTGAATGTGGACATTTTTGTTCAGGGTAACTAATCATTAACTATACTTCAAGTGGCATTGGGTATCAGCTTTGGAGTGAGATCAACCTGGGTTTAAATCCTGGCTTCACCACTTAGTGGCTCCAGAATTTGGGCAAGTTAAACTAAGACTCAACTTTCTCATCTATAAAACAGAGATACATATATCACTGAGTGTTTCTCAGGAGTTAGGAGAGTTCATACAAAGTATTTAGCACAAAAATGGCACATGGTAAGCTTTTAGAATATTATTCTTATTACTCTCTTTCCCTTTTGTCAGAAATCCTTCATAGTGTATCTTGGAATGCTAAAACAAT